TATTTGTTTATATTGATGTATTCATCTCATCAGTATTTCTTTATATTAATGTATTCATCTCATCAGTATTTCTTTATATTAATGTATTCATCTCATCAGTATTTGTTTATATTGATGTATTCATCTCATCAGTATTTCTTTATATTAATGTATTCATCTCATCAGTATTTCTTTATATTAATGTATTCATCTCATCAGTATTTGTTTATATTGATGTATTCATCTCATCAGTATTTGTTTATATTGATGTATTCATCTCATCAGTAGTTGTTTATATTGATGTATTCATCTCATCAGTATTTGCTAATTTATATTGATGTATTCATCTCATCAGTATTTGCTAATTTATATTGATGTATTCATCTCATCAGTATTTGCTAATTTATATTGATGTATTCATCTCATCAGCATTCTGTGATGAAAATTGCACTAGAGGATGGTATGGCCCGAAATGTCTGTACAGTGAGTATGTAAAGATGTCTGATTCTCTACAAAATATATCTTTAACTATTATCATCAATATATCAGTCACCTACTTTATTACTGTACTTAATTAAAATTGTTTTTAAGACATTAATCCCCCCCCTCGTCAATCACCTCTTCGGATATCTCCCATACATCCACATTACAGTCCGTAGCCATTCCAGCAATTCACTCCCAGATTTTCTCCCAGGCATCTCTTCGGGAAGAAAGTCTACCGCCCCCCCCCCCCACCCCTCCGAAAATTTCAAGTGCCCCCCACCCCCGGAGAAAAAAATCTGGAATAAACAATGTTCACTCCAACACTCAAGAGCCCTCACCCCAAGTCGTAACATCAACCCCTAACCTAACCCCAATTCCAAAACTATTTCTAACCCTAACCCAATACCTATACATATATCTAACACTAGCCTTAACCCTAACATATCCTTAACCTAAACTTATCTTAAAGCTATCTGTATATCATCCATCCCTAAAAGACCAGTTGGAATGTCATTCTGGTAAAAGGATATGAGAGGCGGGTAAATGTAGTGTCGGGTAATGTTAGGGGAAATGTCCGGGGGGGGGGACGGAAGAAATTGACGAGGGAATAGTAGTATCCTGCTTCAGTTATAAAATATGTGTTTAGGTTTAGAATTGATGTTTTTTTTTTAAAATAGCATTTTAATAACTTTGACACCAGAGTTTCTTTCAGGCATCTCTTCTTGGGTGCTCCTCCCCCCACCCCCACCCCGAAGAAATTCTACCGTCCCCCCCCTTCCCCCGAACGAGATGGAAGGAAAGTTATATGGTAAACATATACTTTTAATAGTGTCTGCACCCCCCCCCCAGAAATGTAGACCCCCTCCCGAAAGTATCAAGTGCCCCCCCCCCCCCAAGCCTAAGTGCATTTTATTTAATTTAAAAAAAAAATTGTCATAAGCGGATAAATGTACAACATTGTATCTAAAATATGTTAATCATAAAAAATGCAACGGCTATGGTTTAAAATAATCTATATATATAATTCTCTTTATGGAGACCATAGAAAACACCAAGCTGTAAGCGCGCCTAGCTGCTCCCCCTCTTCCTCTCTAGGCATATCCCTACCACCCCCACCCCCACATGGTCTGGTGAGCTGTGGTTAACGCTAAATGTTTACAATCGTAGAGACAGGTTTAGTGACGGCTATTAGGGGCAGATAATTTAGTTTTAAACGATTTTAAACTTAGGGTAGGTAACTAAGAGGAGGCTGCTTTTACGGGGGGGGTGGTAGTGTAGGGGTTGAGGGAAAGGAGGGTGTGGGGGGGGGGGGTTATCGTCCTTAACGATCTACTGTTAGTGTTTTAAAGCAGGGGTCGGCGTGGTCGAGTCGGTAAAGCTCATGGTTGCTAAACCGAAAAGTCTCGAGTTCGAACCCTCGGGCAGATGAGGCTCGTTAGCTGGGGACAGCCACTCTTCTAGGAGAGACAACTCCAAAATTAAACAACTGCTGCCTTGTAGTTTGTTCTTGGTTGGACAAAGGCTATGGAAGCAAATCCAAAAAGAAAAGCAGGCTGAAATCGGAGTCAATGGCCTCAATGGCGCATAACCAGTTGACACGTAACGCTTAATTGTGTTGGAGGCGTGGTCGAGTCGGCAAAAAGCTCATGGTTGATAAATTCGAACAAAAGTCTCGAGTTCAAACCCACTGGCAGATAAATCTCGATCCCCATCAACACTAATAATTAAGAACGAAGAAGAAGAAGAAGTAAAGCAAATATTTTCAGTCGTAGCATTGGTAGTGTCGAATTCACAAATTATGAATTACTGAAAACTAGAAAATAAAACAACTAAATAGCGGCATATGATACGCCGCGGGTCGGCTCGTATATATAAAAAGCCTCAGAGATAAATGACTTGTCTAGTTGGTTTATGGGATTTACTTTACTCTCCCTCTCTTTACGAAGTCTGGTGTCTCCCGGCTGACGAGTGCCACACCCTTCCAATCCTAGAATACTACAGCTTTTGTATCAACATTCCCGCTCTCTTTTTAACAACGATCTTTTTACCAATAGGGGATTTGATGAGAATAGCTGCATGGATCAAACCCTCTGACATGCTTGAGATGAAAACATGCAATTGCCTTCCAAAGGACACGATAACTGTACGATTTCAGAGAGAAATTTTCTTCACGTCATTGCAAATGTATTTTCTGAGCAAAGGTTTTTAATTTAATTTCCAAACAATGATAACTATGTTATATATACTGCATTGATATGAAACTGAAGTATGTTGATTTAATATTATGTGAATGTGAAACATCACACACTACTAGTGACGTATATTATCAGTGTTTCTTCCAGATTTGTTTCTCCTGAGGGGTTCTTGACATTTTCGGGGGGTGGGGGTGCGGATTTATATTTTTGAAGGGGGGTGGACACTGTTAAAAGTATATATTTTTTATATAAATTCCATTTTGTTCGGGTGGGTAGGGGTAGACTTTTTTTCAGGGAGGGCTTAGCCCACCACCCCCCCTCCCCCGAAGAGCTGCCTGGAAGAAACTCTGTATATTTGTGAAACGATGTGATTTTGACAATTTATCTTTTTACTTTTCCCTATAGTGGAAGTGTAGAAATCGTGCTAGAATACTGACATCGAGATTTGAGAATTCAGGACATTTACACCGCCCTGAGTCTTAAAAACAATGTTTACAATCTTCCCGACCGTTTGTGTGTGTCGTTATGTATGTGTGGGTGTCTGTGTATGTACGTGTGTCTGTGCGTGTCTGTGTTTGTATGTTTCAGAGTGTGTGTCTGTCGTTGTCTATACGCGTATATCTATGTCTGTGTGTCTATGTTTGTCTCTGTGTGTCTCTATGTGTCAGGGTGCGTGTCTGTGTTTGTCTCTGTGTTTGTGTGTCTATGTGTGTGTGTCGTTATTTATGTGCGTGTGTATTTGTGTATGTGGGTGTGCCTATAGTTCAGGGGGTGTGTCTGTGTGTCTAAGTATGTCTCTGTGTCTGTCTGTGTTGGTGTCAGGGTGTTAGTGTGTGTCTGTATTCTTGTGTCCTGCCGTGGAACTTAAAACACTTAACTAAAGTTTAATATGAACATGTTAAATCTTATCTGTAGCTTCCATCAACGTCTTAGTCATTTCTGGTTAATGGACGTGAAACTGTATCATAGAGACCACAACACTATTAGAATAGCTTCATCTTTTATCATATTCTTATCAATCGAATTGGAAGATCGCATCACATCTATATGTTTCTTGAAACAAAAAAATGTTTCTCATAAGCCTTTTAGTTCCATTTCAATACTTACTAATAAAGACGAATACACATGAAATCTTTGAAATAGAAACGAAGTTCTAACTAAAATATAATGCAAAGCAAGCTCCTATAGTTTCTTTCATGTTAAAATATGAATGCAAAGAAGTTAAATTAAATTCAAATGTATTAAAATACGAGTTGAATTAATTTACTGTACGTTTTTTGTTTTCAGTAAATCTTCCTATAGCCACATTTACGTTTACATTTTTAAATGGTACGAATGGGAACTGCGGCGACACCTTAACATATTGGATCAAAAGTCACACTTTGGAGGTGGAATGTACACAGAAATTTTTTATTATTGAAGTAAAAATCAAATTTGATTTCAATGCATCAATTTGCAGGGTAGCAGTTAACGGAGGTTTGTGTTTAGCGATTGAGTTTATATTTTAATTTCAGAAGATCTGTTACTTTTAAAACAAAATATCCCTAAGCTTCGATATTTTATAACATTTGTTTTTAAGAAAAATAAAAATCATAGTTTTGATATTTTTTTCACATTTTATTTTATAAAATTCAAATGTGTTTTCATTAATTATTTTTAGTAAATTAATCAGCGTTTCTCGCAGATCTTTCTCTCAAGTGGAGGGAGGGGGGGGGGGAGGGAACTTGAAACTTTCCGGGTAGGGGAACGGACTAAATTTCGGGTTGGGGCGGACAAGTGCAGTGTTTCTTTTTTACTTTTTTTCTCCGCGGGTAAGGGGGGGGGGGTACTTGATATTTTCCGGTGGCGATGGGGGGGGGGGGGGGGGGGATGGCGGACTGGTACAAGTATATATTTTCTATATAACTTACCGTTTCGTTCGGTGGGCAGTAGACTTTCTTCGGAGGGGGGGGGGGGATTTTCCCTCCTCACCGAAAAATGGATGGAATAAATACTGGATGCGGGTATTTTCTATATCAATTCTATTTTGTGAGGATGAGGGGACCCCCCCCCCCCCTAGGAGTTCCTTGAAAGAAACACTTATTTTAATGTATGTTGTCGCTACGTAAATATAAATCAAAATAACATTAATCTTATGAGAATTGGCATTAACCTAGAATATACTTGATTTATCAGTTGGTACTCCATCAATTACGAATAAAAATTGACCTGGAAGAATATCCATAAAATAAGCCTAATTTAGAATACTTGTATTTGTTACAACATTGTGAACTATAAGATTACAACAATTTACATTAAACGCTTACAACAGGTAGAAATGTAATCAGCGAAGGAGATGTATGTATATATTTTGATGGCGCTTTGCAGTCCATTTCAACCGAGAAACTGGAAAATGCGTTTGATTTCAAACTAGAAAATTGTCTTTTACTACATCAGCCTGGCCAGGAGATTTTGTGGTTGACGACTTATTCACAGTTGATACTCATTCACGAAATCGTTATTTATACGAGTGGTGAGCGTCGTGTTTATTGTCTACTCAACATTTCTCTATCTGTCCTCAAGTTTATGATCACATAATTAAATTCTATTTAGACCAATTGTTATTTAAAGTTTTTTTGTGTTCATATTTCCATATACTTTTTTCTTCAATGAACCATGTTTAATTATCTATGTCTTTGTCATTACATTAGTAATCAAATTCGGCGGACCATTAATAGAATAATTAACTCCTTAGTTCTAACGAAACCACTCAACAAGTTGAAGCTACTCAGGGATAGGTTCACATACATAGAAAAACGACACGGAATGTAATAAGGGACTTATAATTATCATTTACCAATAATTTATTTACAACCAACATACTGAATTAACATAAAATATGTAAAGTCTAGAGGCTAAGAACAAAATTAGAAAGTGTGCACTGTGCCATAAGGTTAAAATTTGCTACCATTTTTAATATCTACAGTAATAAATTCTAATGATAAAATTATTTAATATGTAGTGTCAAAACATTCGAATTTTTTAAACAGAGAGAGAGGACTTAAATGTGAGATATATTTAGATTCATTTGTTCAAAGGATCTAAAATTTACTTTTTCTGAAATAAATTAATTATGTTTAAATATTCTGATATTTAGATGCCTAAATTTAAAAAAAAAAGAAAGAATAATTTTAAAATTTTGAAAACGTTAATTTTTTCCGCACAAAGTTTCAGATTCTCCATCTAGGAAATTTAACGTCGAACTTTACGACTTTGAAAAGAATATCATATTGAACTATACGTCGAACACATCTACGTCTGTTCACGCTATGAACTTGGGCGGAGAGTTCGAGATTCATTTGTTAATTATCAAAAGTTTTGAAATATTATCCCTTTGTGAGATTCAAGCTTTTGGTGGTTAGTATACGTTTTTTTTTTTCATTTAGTTACTATTGAAATAATCACAGGTCAAATTATCCAGACAATAAAACCCAGAAAAAAATATTTCAAAGGCGAAGTATCTTAAAGCTTAACATTATAAAAAAATGCCATCGTCAATGTGACCCCGGCTAAATTCTAAAGGCTTACGGATATATATAAATATATATATATATATATATATATATATATATATATATATATATATATATATATATATATATATATATATACCCATATCATATAAACATTCATTATTATTCATGATTGTTAAAGGAAATTAATTTCAATAGCAAAAAAATGGTTTTTTTTTTGGATCAAATAGATTCAACCATGTAACATTTAAAAATGTGTGACTTTTCACCCCAAGCATGTGACTATTTGACCCCTCACTGGGGTAAATTGTCGCAATTTTAAATCACCATTTTTCAAGTCTATCATGGGCTCACCGTGAATAGCTATTACAAACGGCTCAACATACAGTTATCTGAAATGTGGAAATAGTATTTGGCGCATTGGCATCTCATATATATATATATATATATATATATATATATATATATATATATATATATATATATATATATATTCGTTCGTTCGTTCGTTCGTTCGTTCGTTCGTTCGTTCGTTCGTTCGTTCGTTCGTTCGTTCGTTCGTTCGTTCGTTCGTTCGTTCATTCGTTCGATCGTTCATTCGTTTGTTCGTTCGTTCGTTCGTTCGTTCATTCGTTCGTTCGTTCGTTCGTTCGTTCGTTCATTCATTCATTCATTCATAACTCTTAGAATGTCCGAGAGGAAAGTACGGTCTGTCTTGCAAGGAAATATGTTTAATCATGTGCTACGAACACACCTGTCAGTTTTCTGGAATATGTAAAAAGTGTGAACAGAACAGACATGGAGCCTATTGTGTGGAATGTAAGTCATAACAGCAGTGGCGTAGCGAGGTCGGGTGTCACCCGGTGCGGCACTTAATGGTGTCACCCCACGCCGCCAGAGGCGTAGCGACCCTTCCCGGGGACAAACTTTCAAATTTTCGATTTGCACCCCCCCCCCCCCTCAAGTTTTCGATTTGCACCCCCCCCTCCCTCAAACTTTCGATTTCTCTATATATTTTGCTATTTTTTTGCTTTGGTGTCACCCCCCTAAAAGGTGTCACCCGGTGCGGTCCGCACCCCCCGCCCCCCCCCCCCCCCCCACCCCCAATCGCTACGCCCCTGCATAACAGTTACATTAAGTTTGTGCCCTGCAATAAACTAATTTTAGGCTACATTTTCTGGACAACTTTTTTTCTAAAAAATATTTTAAGTAAATAAGAATGTGATATGTTTACATTGTATCATAAAACGTATATAGTTACTCAATTATTTTTCAGATATCGAGAAGCCTAATTATTTTAATTTCGAAAATTCATCAACTACCCCTGAAACCGTTGACTTGAGTGAATTAATAAAGCAAAATAATATCACATGGATAATTTTACTTGTAGTTATCATCATGTTTTTAATAGCTTTTTTTTCTCGCCCGAAATCTCAGTAAGTTATTAATTAGTTATTTGTAATTCTAGTAAAAGCATAAAAAAAAATTAAAAGACGAAAATATAATTGAATCATAGAGTCGACACAACATTTGTTTCAGAAGCACAGATCAGCTCGACTCTGAACACGAAAGCTCTAGAAAAGTCGTACATCGAAATGTTACCTAAATGTTTTAATGATTTTTTTTAATTCAATAAACTCTAAAGTGTATGCAATTTTTTTTTTTTTTTTTAAATTAAATGTTGTGTTTTTTCACTGCATTTTAGTGAGTGTTAAAAGATATCCCAAATACAACATTGTCAAAAGTAAACACAAACAGATTTACAAAACAAAATGTATTATACAATAACTAAAATCACGTAATGAATTAATCACACGAGGATTAAATGATTCTTATTATAATAAAACATAACAAGACCATGACCAAACATCTTCAAACTACCTACTTCTGAATCAGATAGGAGAAAGAAATGAAAATGAATCCTAGATCAATATCTATGCAAAGCCCTAGAAAATGTCCTTTAAAAAAGCATAATCAACATCTCAACTGGGGAGAGGGGAGAGGCAGACAAATACCTCCCCAACCGACGTATTTAGTGCTGGTAGCTATATTAATTTACAACTTAATACTTTATATGAATTGAAATAAAAAGAAAAACTAAAATAGTCGTAAGTGTATAAAAGTACTACATTGGTATGTAAAAATACGTAAACAAAAAAAAAGCAGAAACACTGTGGTTTAAAATACTGTTTATATAATGCGCATACATTTATTATTTATATTTATATATATTTGGTTTGGTTTGGTTTGATTTTGATTTGTTTGGGTTTGTTTGGTTTGGTTTGGTTTGGTTTGGTTTGGTTTGGTTTGGGTTGGTTTGATTTTGATTTGTTTGGGTTTGTTTGGTTTGGTTTGTTTTGTTTGGGTTTGTTTGGTTTGGGTTGGTTTGGTTATGTTAAGAAACGAATATTGACATCCATCAAAGAACCAATCTATTAATATTTAGTTTAAAACGCTACATTGTATATTGAAGAAATAAAGTATGGTATCACACCGTATTAATCAGTTTTTAATACTTGTGTGATCCAGAGAGAAATATAAAGATTTATTAGTACACAAAAAGTTCGGTAAAAATAGTACTAACATATAAAAGTCCTTCATTCAATTAGAAATTACGGATAATAATTACTTTTATTTGAGCACTTAGGATGCCGATAATATTTTTTAGATTGTGCGTGGAATTAATAATTATTTTACCTATATAATTAACAGATTAACACATGAAGACTTAAATAAATAGTTGACAACTTGGCGGATATTATATAGAAATGTAAGAAGATACATTGATTAATACATAATTAGTCAGATTATTAAAAAAAATACTAAATCACATCAATTTACTATCACTTGAAGGTAATTCACAGTGAAGAACAGTAGAATTTTGCAGAAACTTAACTGTTACATATCACAAAAGTTTAAAATCTTAAAAAGATCTTCATTATAAATAGAGAAAACAATTTTTCTTGTTAACTGTTGTCATGTAAATGTTGCACATGTTGTCACATACATCAGAGTGATGTGCTCGACTATTGCACAATCATTGTAATACAATCTAAATTCGACGCAACGAAAGTTCAGGAAGAGGCGACATACAATAGTGGGTTGTTACATAATCACAAAATCATTTAAAACATTTTAAATTAAAGTTAAAAAAATTTGACAAAAAAAACATCTACAACGAGTAATACGGATATAGCGTTTTTTAAAATACATATTAGAGATGAAAAATAAATAATACGCTGACATCGGAAAACTTTCACAAAATTTACAATGTGCTATAATCAGGAATGTAAATATAATGCAGTAGAGTGAAATAGTGACCATTTGTTAAACAATGTAGCATTGTTTACCCCTACATTCAAGTGTACAATCATTTGAATCGTAACAGCTGTAGAATTAGTTTCATAACTTTAACAACATTAAATACATTATACAACACTGTAACTTATGTAAATGATGACTCAATGTTTTGTTGGATTAATAACAGGATCCACTGCAAACATCGTGTGCCAATTTCAAGTTTGAACTTTGAAATTAAATAAAATATGCACTAAAAATACTACTGTTAATCGGACAAGAAGACTTCGCGAAATTAATAAGTTAATACGTTTCTTAAAGGGTTGCTTGCTTGGTCTTTCTGCTATGATCTTCGGGAAAAATTATTTCTGCTTTGATACATTTTAATATAAATGGAAATTGTGAAATCCTCCTTGAATCTGTTTCAACTAACATGTGTGGTGCTACTCCCGTTTGCGGTCCTTCCTCCAGCCTTGATACTTGGCATAAACCATGGGCAAGGTGTACGCAATAGGATTCACAGCCGAGTTGAGGGGCAGGACTATGATGGCCAGCCAGCCATGCGTGTCGGGACTGAAGGTCTGACCGGCGTACGACATGAGCCCCACGACACAGACCGGCAGCCAGCACAGGATGTTGGACACGACAACCAGTGACAGATTCTGTGCGACCGTGATCTCACGTCTCCGCTGGACGCTTGTGTTGATGATGGAGCTAGTCGGGAGTAAGATGCTTTTAAAGATCATAATCTGGCCGACAATGATGAGCAGGATCAGCACAGAGTTAACAATGATGTAGAGAGTCAAGGAGAATACACGGCCTAGCTCGTGTTTGATGCTGATTGGAAGTCCCAAACAAACAGAACTGGAGGAGAACACCTGCCACTCTGGAATTAGGACTGGAATCAGAGAAATAACCGGGCAGCTTGTCCAGACGATGGCCAGTAAAACTTTTAGAACTTTGGGTGAAAACTTGACCTGCTTTAAGGGGTTTCTGAAGATTAAATACCGCTCTAGGGTGATGAGCAAGACAAACATTGTGGAGCTCTCGCTCGATAGAGTTGCAATGAAGCCTGCAGCCATACACAATGAACTCTCTCTCCAGGCCGTGTCGTAAAAGACGTAGTTGTCTCGATACTTAACGTCAGCCCCAGCTATGATCATCAGGTACAGGCTCATCAGAAGGTCTGACAGGCCGAGGTTGATCACAAATATCATATGGCCGTGTTTGAAATGGTTTTTCTCAGAGATGAGCCGGTACCCCAGCACAACAACGTTGCCGATAGACCCCACCATAGCTACTAGCCATATCAGGGTACGTTTGATGACGTCACCGAGCAGATTATCACAGGAAGAAATGCTGTCGCTTGGCGCGTGACAGCTTTTTTCAGCAATTCCAGGCCCTCTAAACTTCTCGCAACATAATTTGTAACTGTCTCCGTAGATAGCATCTTGGATGGTCATGTGCTGGAAATATTTGGAGCTACTAGGATCAAAATTGAGCTTAGTACCTCTCAGATCTAAGATGCCAAACGTTACACCATCCTTATTTTTTGCCCACAAGAAATTGTCGACCTGAGTAAAACTGATGTTTAAATTGTGTACAAGATACCCAGAATATGCCAGACGAAACGACTTGAGCAGTGTGAAGGAAAGGTCTAGTGTATATAAATCAGGTATCGCTATGAGCGGTACGTAAATAGAACTGATCAAAGTGTGAGACAATTTCAAAGTGCGTATATTTCTTAAAAAAGGTGAAAAGATGTCAAAGTTATTAAAATAAATTTGATTGTAACTGAGATCTAGTAGGTATGTGTTGTACAGGCTGTTTCTAAAAGCAATTATAAGTTGCATAAACTTGTCTTCTTTAAGATTACAATTTGACAAATGAAGCTCCAGTAAGTTTCTTATAGTTACATACTTTGGAATTTTCGCCTCAGCCAAATTTAAACCTGATACAATAACCGCAGTGGTTCTCCGGTCAAACGACTGAAATAAATGTGTGTAGTTGACTTTGCTGTGGTCGCTGACTTGAGCCGCTCCCCACAAGCACGTGAATCCAGAAGGACATTTCTCGTGACACAGCAACTCGTCCTCGCGGGTCTTACACTGGTCCTGACCGTCACATAAATGGACGCTGTGGATGTACGAACCCGGCTTCCGACATGGGATCAAGGCCTCTGTGATTAATCCTTTTTCCTCCAATATAAACTCGAGCTCATCATCGCCCAGAGGACAGTCTCTGACGCCGTCGTTGACCAGGTATATCGGTACACAGTAGGATAAATCACATTTGTAGAAGCTCTCGCCGCATTGAAAATCTTCACAGTCTTTTAGATGGGACAAATCTTTGCAGCCTAAAATCTGGTTTGTAACATGACCCCTAAGATAGATACATCGGGCAGCCCAGCTGTTGCCTTGAGCTTGTAAGTCTGAGTTACATCGTATCATTATCTTGGTACGATTGTTGTTGAAGAAGCAAATGTCTTGGTTGCCACACGCTGCTGTGTGGTGTGGGAA